AAAAAAATCTTATGTCTTCAGAAACTGAGAGTATTCTTAAATATTTATTTTGAGATTGTTAATGTTTTTTATTTTTGGCCTAGTCATCACCAGCCAATTTTTAAACCCCTCAAGTGCCTGGTTGGAAAACCCCCCCAACCCTGCCCTCACCCCTTTTTTGTTTTTTTTTAAATTCTAGAAAAGATCATTTTCCTTGTCATATGGGTCACACTGATTGCAAAATTGGACCGTGCTTCCCATTTTACTAGCAAGAGTGAGGTTTGACATTTGTTGCATAGTTGACGAAGAGCTTCTGATTTGTTGTTTGAGAGCGACTCTGTTGAGAGGAGAACGCGTGCGTGCTGTAGTGTATGGATGTGTTTTCGTGGGCCTCGGTCCCAAACCAGCCTTCACGTCCTCACCGAAGTCTCCCTTCTCACCACATGTACAGTAAGGAACACTGTTGGTTAGTACGAGTCCTTGAAGTACAATGGGTACAACAAGAGGGTTATTTTGGGGATTGGGCCCTTTTATTAAGCTGTCCCAGAAGCCTTAGAGTTCCCCAGGTGCTGCAACAAGCCCTCCACCATTATGCACTTTGATACAGAGGCTTAAACCTGTCTGTATGTGTCTGTTCAGCTGTTATCAATATATCAATATTATAGCCTACATTTTTTTTTTCTCCTCCATATTAATTCAGATTATCCATTTAACATTATTCTACAATACTTAACATGGTTTGAATATATATGGGCAATGTTGTGGTTACAGTGGTGAAATATTCTGCGCTCTGTGTATATAGTATTTCTATCCAACCAATCAGTAAACTGTATTTATTTTCTTTAACCAGATCGTCCTTTTAAGCTTAAAAAAAAAAACATCATCTCCATAACAGATCGACACATAGTCCCAGAGTTTTACGGTCACAAATTTTCATTCTCACTAATGCGGCTCTTCACTGTTTTTTTTGTAAAAGGGAAATGCACCTTATTGTTTTGAGACAAATTCTTTCTTCTCACTTGTGTTTAGCTGAACTGTTACACACGTTATTATCACACATGTTCGGATGTCGGTGTCGCCACAGATTTTTCCAGTACCACTCAGTTAACTGTAACTCACTATCCCTGTGATGATTTCTCAATAGAAAAAACCTATTTCTAACAATCCAACTATGTATATTTATAAGCTTCTCTATGAATTTGAGGTTTGTTAAACGTAATGTGTTATAGCTGATATTTTGTTACTTTTTACAAATTGGCTCAATGCTCTACTTTGTTTCAATAAATATCAAATGTAAAACAAGCAGAGAAGTATTTACTCACTTCTACTCTCCTTCTTGAAATGTGTGCGCCTTTTTAACCGCATTCAACCACCGATCACATTTAACCGGATCTAACTTTTTCACTTTTAAATCTTAACAGCATTTCAAGGCAGTAACATTCCTTCATTCGGTGTCTTCAGATTTCGTGACAGACCATCAAACCCACAGTGGATGACAGCTGTTTTAGGCGTGTAGCGCAACAAAGACAAGAAGATTTTGCTTGAGAGCTTTGGAAGATGGCCTGAAGATTAGGTGTCTCTCGGGGGGACGGTTTGAGGTTGTATTATAAGTGCTCCTCAACGATCCAGGGACAGTGGATCAGTTAATGGAATGATTAATCATATTGTGTCAGGAGAGCAAGAAGAGGGGGATTTTTTATTTTTTTTTTCTCGACGTGAGGGGAAATTGGGTTGTCTGGAAGACGACCGGGCCCCTGTCAGAGAGCGCTGGTGCTCCAGAGGAGATGCAGAAAACAGGAGAGAAGATTGGGTAATGAGAAATGGGGGATTACACGAGAGCTGAATGAGAGGGGAGTAATGAGGCGAGGGGGGCCTGTGAGAAGAGAGCCGCCGGGGGAGAGGAGCGCTTTGAGGAAAGTGGAGCTGAAGGACTACCATTACAGTGTAAACGCTGCTGACACTGACTAATATTTACACTCGAAAAATGATACTGACTTTAGAAGCACGTCCCATATGTGACCCTGTCAGTTAGCACTTTGTGTGTGTGCGTGTCTGCACAGTTGCATGTGCGCCCATTTGCAAAAAAAAGTCATGACAAGTGTTTACATTTTTTTATTGGTGCCATTAAGCCAAAGTAAGAGAGGGAGATGCACGGTTAGCACGTAGGGAGAGAGATCGAAAGAAAAAAAAAAAAGACTCAAAGAAGATCAAGCCCAGCCAGAGGTTTTCCATATTTTAACCTTCTGTCAACAGCTAGGTTTATAAGGATATGAAATCACCCATCAACTTTGGATTTCTTATGTACATGAAGGTCAGGTCGTGCTGGACGAGGCTCCCTCAGAATGACTGACTTGACTTCATACCAGCAGGACTTTTCTAGCCGTAGCATAAACAGAAATCCAGGTGCGCTTGCAGGCCGACGCAGCAGGCGGAGGAAACCCGAAACCCACAGGTGCACAGGTATGACTTAACCGACACAGAGACACTTCCAAATGTTCAAACAAAATGCTTCGACGTCTTGATCCTGGCTGTCCTTTCTCAGCCTTCCCACTTCTTCGCTTTGACAGTTTATGTGGGTGCTTGCGTAAACATTTGCACACACAATCCAGCCTTCATTGCAGGAGTGCTTTGTAGCTTAAAATCACATATTTAGGTGATGTAAACCTTTGCAATGGAATCATCTTAAGTCTATCTCACTTTGTTCTCTTTTTTTTTTCTCTTTTCATTCTGACAGAAAATAGACACGTTTTTTTCACTCAAGGAATTTTGATGGTTTCATATTTAATGATGTTGAAATACGCAGATAACTCATGCATTTTTTTTTTCTTCTTGCGTTACAGGCTGGATTGCAGCAGTGTGCGTGTGTGTGGGTTTTTATATTCATGCAAAGGTGATAATTATGATGATGAAGAGAACTGGCTGGATACAAACTGAGGTTCTCCCGGCTTATCGAGTGGTTTCGCTCTATTCTTCTTCCACTGCATTAAAATTCCGCGGAGGTTCCTCAGGATGATTACGTGACAAGTTGTGTTTTGCTAAGACAAAGCAGCTGCTTGATATAAGGCAAACTCTCTCTGCCGAAGCCAAATCTGCTGACCACAACTTTGTAGATTCATAAATAGCCTATTTTGTTGATCCTGTTCCTGCGGTGGAGAAGGCTGAACAAATGTTCTTATATAACTGCTATATACCAGGCTGCTGCACATATTGATGTAATACATTTACACCACATTTTACCATCTGTGAAACAAAACCTCAGCTTGAACTCTAGCCTGTTCACTTTTTTTTTTCTACCATGCTACATCACGGCCTGGTGAATTCTGGCTATGTTAGTCCCATCATGCATATCACTACTTCAAATCATGACTCAAACTGCTGAAAACACCTACAATTCACAAAATATACACACATACTCCAAATGCTCTAAAGCCTAAAAAAAAAAAAAACGTGCTGTCAGTGGGACTGTCTGGCAAAGCTCATCCCTCCAAGCCAAAGTGGAGCTTGTTCCATTTCCCGGCTTTTGCTGTAAAACAACAACCAGGCCAAAATAAGAGCGCTCCGCAGAACTGCATTTAGAGCTATTTGAGACTGTGGTTGTGTGTTTTAGAGAAAGAGGGCAGGGCACCGCCGTGTGACGTCGCAAACAGTCTGGACTGGATCAGAGAGACAAGCCGGTGCCACAGAGTTACCGGCTCCCCCCCACCTTCTCCTGCTGCCAGTTCTATCCTAGTGTGCCCCCAGAAACCGCCCGTTGCCACAAGTTGTTTCAATCGGGCAGAACTCTTGGTTGAAAATAGAAAGGTTGTGCACAGAGGTCACAGTTTCTCAATGTGCATGACTGAGGTTTTTTGTGTGTGTATTTCGTGGAGTGTTGAGAGAAATATAGAACGAGGGAGGATAAATCATTATCAGTTCTCATCCCGACACCTTGTATCTCAGAGGCAAGTTTATCTCATATCCAGCTAGAAATTATTCTTATAATCGGATTGTAGTGCTGAATACAGAAGCAGAATAATACAAGACATCCCAGGATATAATTGCAATTGGAAAGGTACACATAGCAGAATAGCTGTTTGTGTGTGTGACTGTGTGTGTGTGTGTGTGTGTGTGCAAGACTCGAGTAGTAAAGTGCACTGCAGCTCATCTTGTTTTATTGCTCACAGATGTGGAAACATATTCACCTTCATATGACAGTAAAGGATTACAATATGTTATTCTGTCTTAAATGTCATACAGAATAACCACTTTACCAAATGAAGCTTTTTTTCTGCTTCTTCTCTTTATAGAAGCGCTTCAATTGATTTTACAGAACTTTCATGAGAAAGGTAAACAGTATTTCACTCCGACATCTGATCTGCTGTTCTCACATACGCTGTGTTTCTGTGCAGCGCCGCTCCGCTCTCACACGGCTCCATTTTTGAGTCACACACACTTTCCCCGTCGCCGTGTCTTTTGCATTGTGGCTTCCTCTCAGAGCGCGGGCTGTATATCAGATTGTGTTTACAAGCATGCCTAAAACAAACTTCCTTGTTTATGGTTTGCAATGGGATCTTCTCTTCTTCTCTTTTTTTTTTTCCTACTCTGTGGCGATGATGATAATGATGATGATGATGATTATGTGTATGTATGTGTGTGTAGCATTACCCCACAGGGAGCTGAGTGCCAGGTCAAAGCCAGTAGCTGAGTGATTCTGTCAGCCTGCTAAGCCTTTGTGGATTACACTAAAGTGGGCCCCTGGGGTTGCTCCGACATCACTTTGCAGCTCTGCCCAGTTATGGTTAAAGTGTAGTGCGGCAGTTATTTAGGTTCCTTTTTCTGTCTTCGTTCCAAATGTTTAGTGCTAACTTTACATCTACAGCGACCACCGCACTTCACACAATCTACGAGATACGAAGGAACAGACTTTATGTGCTATAGAACAGTTGGGAAA